TTTGAAAAATAAACAAAAACTTTTATCCAGCCACAACGGCGTGTCACGTAAGATTTAAAAATAGTTAATAATAACAACAAAAAAGTAACGCACTATCATGAACATAAACATTGAAAAATAAAAAAGCACGTTCAATGAGAATGCCGACACTCAGACTCATCGATAATTTTTTTAATGTTTGCAGTATAATTTGATACAGCCATTCGAATACAATTATCCAAAAGTTCATCTGTAAGTCGATTGCGATATTTGTTCTTAATAAACTTCATATTGGAAAAAGAAGATTCACACAAATAGGTTGAACTGAATAATGCTTTCACTTTCAAGGCAACACGGCATAGAACTAAATATTTGTCTTTACTTACAATAGGCCAGATACATTTGGTACTTGAGACTAACGATTTTAAGGCTAAATCATTTTGAAACTCAATTACTTCCATTTCTGTTGCAGCGATGTCTTCGCCAAAGTTCTGCATAACACAAGTTGCAAACTGTTGAATATCAATTTCCATAAAGGATGAAACAACAAACTGCGCTACTAAAGCCATTTCGTTGAAATCCTTAAAACGATTTTTGAAGTTATTCTTCAGGGTAGAAACTATTTCTACATGCTGTCATAGGGTTCTAATGGATTTTGAGATATTTTTTCTGAAAGAATAGGAAAATGCTTGGCATCGCTGTTAATTAGGTTCTGTTCCCAAAACTCCAGCTTTTTGATAAATGCTTTTATATCAGAAATAATTTTCGCTAGTTCTTTGTCTCTCCCCTGAAGCTGCAAATTAAGTTCGTTTAATTTCTCTGTAATGTCCACGAGAAAACCAAAATCTCTAAGCCAGATTGAATTTTCTAGTTCCGGAGTCGATTCATCGCGTTGTTTGAAAAATTGAACTATGCCAGATAGGACATCATTAAAACGTTTCAGCACCCGTCCTCTACTTAACCATCGGACTTCAGAGTGAAGGAGTAGGTCCCCGTATTGACAGTTAACTTCATCGGCCAAGGTTTTGAATAATCTTCTTTGTAACTCTTGAGCTCTAATCTTATTCACAATTTTTACCACCAGTTTCATAACGTTGTTTAGTTTCAGGAAATTTCCACATAATGCTTGCTGTTGGATAATGCAGTGGTAACAGAGAAATTGTGGAAAAGTTTCATCTTTACGACATAACGCCACCAGACCCTTATCACAACCCACCATAGCTGGAGCGCCATTGGTTGTCAAGCCTACCATTTTCGATAATGGAATTTTCTCGGAAGAAATTATATTTTTTAAATGAGAAAATAACTCCTGTCCAGTAGTGTGTCCTTCCAGTGGAATAAACTTCAAAAGATCTTTTTTAATCGTAAAATCACTAAAAACCATCCTGACGAACACGGCCATCTGGGCAGTGTCAACGACATCTGTTGATTCATCCAGTTGAAGTGAAAAATAAAGACAGTTATCTAAGTCAGTTCTTAATTGTAAAAAAATATCATTGCTCATTACTTCTACACGTCTCATCACTGTATTAGCAGAAAGTTGCATAGATTTTATAGCTGAAACTATCTCGTCTTTATTTCTAAAGTTGGCAAATAACGAATCAGTAGCTTCTAAAAACGCCTGTTTTGTCATTTCCCCGTCTTCATAAGATTTCTTTTTTTGTGCAATTATCTGGGACACACGGTACGATGCTTCAGTTGCAGCCTTATTTTTGTCGACTGTTCTTAAAAATATTGATTGTTGTCCAATTAACTGCTTTTTTAACTGTTTCAGTTTCTCCTTTCTGGCGGCAGAATGTAGTGGGAATGATTTTTCAAAATTAGAATGTACAGTTTTATGATGTCTCTCAATATTTCCTTTTTTAGCAACGGAGACCGAAGTATTACATAACAAACACACATTTTTATCTTTAACTTCTGTAAAAAAGTATTGTTCTTCCCATTCCGAATGAAAGTGGTATGTCTTTACCTTTTTACAACTGCTTGCCATAATATTATTTTTTGTTTTTCTCTACTAACCCAACCCCTGGACGTTGGTTACGCGTTCAGTTTTAAACTACGCGCAATGATGCCGCGCCGTGCGTATTTATCCCGTTCAAAACAATCCTGATCGTTCTCGAACACTAACGCGCTGGTGCGGCTGGTCGGTTCTAGCCGATTCTAGCTTGATAGTGTCTGCGGCAGAACGTTTCCGTTTCCAGAATTGTTTCCGCGAGCTACCGGTAGCTCGCGATCGACAGCTTAGCGACCACTGCTATAGAGGTTTCCTTTAGAAGATTTTCTATGTCCACACATACTCTTTTGAAAGAAGATCTGAGTTGAATGCTGTGTCGTTTTAGAACTTCAAGATTCTCCGCCGTCACGAACATTCCTTGATTTTACCGTTTAAATACATGTAAAATGTCTCCATCTCTGTTGCTCACATAGACTGTTGGTAAAATCTCTCTCTCTTTCATTTCCTTAGTACCAGCTAAGAAATGGCTCCGGTACGCGGCAAGAGCTTGGAGATTTATGCAGCGCGAGATTGCCACATTTCAAATAATTTCTGAATATAAAAAGAAATGCATAAAATAAAAATACGATAAGACGTTTTAAAAATAAAAAATATATTTTTGCATGTGCCATGGCACAGTGGCACTACCTCACGCGCCGCCACTGGTTCCGATAGTAATTGAGATACATGCAGCACCAATCTGCGATACAATATTGCATTTAAAGTACAAAAATCTGGATAAAACAAACTATTTTTCACACAAATTATTCAAGCCCATTCAAAAGACTGTAATAGTATTAAACATAGCCGCATAATAAATTATTAGTTACATGATTGGTGGTATATATGTAGGCCGTAATGAATAATTAATCGTTTATATTTTATTTAAATTAGCTTCTGTGGAGTATTTCATTGTGATTATAATATAAAGCAGTTTTTAATTTATTATTTAAATTAAAATGTGAATATAAATAAATAAATTGAAATCCACTGAACGTTGACAAAACAAAAGTTGAAAGTGTCGGTTATTTATACTTTTTAAATGGATTTCTATTTGGCCAAATTATTTTTCAAGCTCGTTTGTTATATTATAATATATAAGCGAATCTTTATTAGTAACTAATTTACACTTAAGTTGCAAGAGAATAGATTACATGGATTTTAAATGTTAAAGCCAATTTAACCATCTAATAAAATTAAAGGAGACTTCAATATTAAGACGATAGATTTATTCAAAGCCAACACTGTAAACTTTTGTTTAAGTTTTTGCTCCTAAAAAGCATAAAGCGTACAAACAAACAAACAACTAGCTTTTTTATATTTCTTCGGTTTGTTTTTATTTTAACAGATTCCTTAATTTCGTAGAACGAATTATGGTTTACTGTTTCACATTTTAAAATGCATAAAATATTTAAAAGGCAAGAAAGTTTAGACAGAATAAATAAAATATGGCATATTCATTTTAAATTTAAAGGTAACAAAAATCTTACTTCAAATCCTTTGTGATAAGTAGATATAAATATGTTAAAGGGTAGAAAGAGTGAAAGGGTTTGAGTTAGATACGTTATTTTAAAAAGATTATTTACATGCTGTTTAGTTTTTAATAAATACATAGTGGACTGTATAAAAATAATGTATATATTGTAAATGAAACAGGTCAGTTCTATAAAAAATTAAATATGTTACTGACTTTAACATAAAAATATACACAAGAACCCAATGGTTTGGTGGCGCCTGAAGCTAAGTGATACTATCTGGAGTTTGCGTAATATCAGACCACCCAGTGGATTATCCACATGCTTTTCCATTGATTTCTGCAATGTTTTCCATCACAATATTAATAAATATTTAATTTTTTACTTAGTTATATTTCTTATTTTTGTTACTTAGGTATATTGTTTAATTTCTGTTGTCTAGATACTAGGATGTCTGTAACTAAGGATTGGATAATTACATACATTGAATCGATTATTGTTGTTTGCTGTTTCAAGTTTGTGTTTGGGAGATTCAGTGTGGGTCATCCTGGTTAATTAAGTCGATTGAATTATGTCCACTGTATTATTGTGACGATCTGTGAACAGTCGCGTATAATTTGCATCCCAATGTTACATGATTAATCATTTCTGCTTTAATGTTGCATTTCTTGGTTTTGTTTAGTACGAGTATCTAAACTATTTATTTGATGTTTTAGTAACATTTCGTTTAAAAGTTTTTCTACAGACAGGTCCTGCTAAATATATTGTGCATTTAATGGAGTGCCCTCTAATGTTTATAATATAATAAAAGGTCCGGTAAATATTGACACAATTATTCTAGTTTCGACGTATTTAATTAAATTTTCTCGGACGAAATATTTGATATGCTAATATTATCTACTAATAACTACGAGAAAAAAGTATGCAAATCCAATAGACCTTTTACTAGGCACAGGCGTATGCTACAGTTTCAGGAAACAAATAAAAAAGAAATTTTTGGGACTGTGTTTATTACAAGCTCAAAATAAATCTCACAGTATTAGACATAGTTTCAGCAATCATTGCTTGTATTACCAGACAATAGAAAAGGTTTTTGCCTTTTCAGTTATCACAAACATGGATAAAAATAAAACAAAAATGCGGTTAGGAAAATTGTTTAATCGGTTTCGATAATTTTATGTTATACTACACTAAAACTGACAGTTTTTTATAAAGGGATATCAAATTGTAAAAAAAATAAGCCATTGTAAACGTATTTAGATTGTTTAGTACACAGTACAAAAAATGCTATACCAGAATGATAGTACCAGTATCAAATATCGCACCCAGTACATTTTCAATAGTTTCATCTCTGTGAACATATTCTACGATATTTAACTAACCTAAAATGTTATGTTTTGCAATTCCTTAGGATTATTTATATCTATTTTTAAATCATCTTTTCCTTTTGCTAACTTTCATTATTGCTAACTACATAATAGCACAGCTGAGCATATATTTATTTCTAATATTTTTTTTTGAAGTAGTTAGATGATGTGTGCAATTTTTTGTAGGTGATCTAGCACCTCCAAAATATCGTGTTCTAGGAGAACGTCCGCTATTCAGGCTGCATAATCTTCAACCAGGAAAAGATTATCAAGTGTCAGTTTATGCAGAAAATGCCAAAGGAAAAAGTTACCCACCTGTGATATTATCCAATGTTAGGTTAGATAACCAGCTCACGTCTTTGTTCTTCAATACGGAAGGTAAGAAATTTAAAAAAATATTTAGAAATGTATTTACAAATGTTTTTACAAATGTATTTATATGTTAAATGTTAAGGACTCTTTAGGCATCTAGCCTCTTTCCACCCTCGTCTGCTATGTACGTTGTACATATCCTTGGTTTTGGAATGTCGATGTCCTGCCGAGCCTCGAGGGTTGCATCCTCCAAGGGCCTTAGCGTGGGCACCACCTCCTTCAACCATTGTGCACAACGTACTACTATGTATCCCGGCCTGTGTGTGCATTTGGCAAAACGCACCTTTTCCCCTTCCATGGGGACACCTTTGTAGACACTTATGATCGATTCATCGACAGCTGTTTGCTGCTCCGTTTCCATAAGTGCCTCTGGAAAGCAGGTTCTCACCACTGCGATCTTTGTAGTGGTAAGGGTCTCTTTAAAAGTTATCCCTTTCATTTTGGCCTTCTTTTCCACTTTCCGATCTGGAGGGGGAGTATTTCCTTCCTAACTTGGCCTTTTTGTGGTTTTTTTTATTGACCTGGCTGGCTTTGGTAGTCGAAGTTTGAGGTAGCTTAACTTGGAATATGGCAAAGTTATCTTTGATTATGCCTTGTTTGGCAGCAATGAAATATTGGCCAGATTTTAGCAGGTTGTTTAGCCTTGCTCTCGTTTGACCGGATATGACAAAGAATTTGACTTCTGTGACTGACATTAGGTCAATTTCCTCTTCGGAGGTGACCTTCCTGGATTTGGGCCTTTTAATTGTTGTTGGCACATTTGCCTGGTCAACTTCCACGGCCTGTTTCGCTATCTCTGGCACTTTTGCTTGGGATTACTCTTGTTTGACTACTGCTGGTGGCACATTTGCCTGTTCAGCAGTAGAAGTTTTTGAGTTAATATTTTCTAGGTTCATATTGTTCCCACGAGTAGCTGAGAAAGGATGCTGTAGAAGATGATACTAGTAGTAGGATTCACAAAATTTCCAACGTCACAACTTGAATAATAATAACAACAACAAAGTATATTATCTATCAGAAAATTTACCAGTGGATAAAGCATTGCTCCTATGGAGAGGATGTCTGAAATTTCGGCAATATATTCCAAATAAAACTTACAAGTATGGTATTAAATTTTACGAAATTTGTACTTCTGATGGTTTTGTAAGAGACTTGTTGATATATTGCGGGCAACGTACCATAACAAATGAACAAGGCCATGCCTTTGAGGCAGTGAAAAATTCCTGCATAAGGGACACACAATTCATATGAACAATTTTTACTTCTGTTATAAATTAGTCAAATACCTTTTAGAAAATAAAACGTTCATGTGCGGTACTTTACGAAAAAACAATAAAGGGAATCCTCAAACAGTTGTATGCACGAACATAAAGAAGGGTAACCTCGTCTGAAAGAGAAAGGGACAGACAAGAGTTTTAAAACGGTACGACAAGCGAAACGTTCTTATGATTTCAAGTAAATATAAGTCAAGGATGATAGAAGTAACTTCAAAAAAGGGAGTAAAGAAATTTAAACCTAAAATGGTAGCTGAGTATAAGAGACATATGTTTCCGGAGTTGACAGAGCAGACCAAATGACATCGTATTAATAAACACCAAGAAAAACAAAACAAAAATAAAGTAATACATGAAAACTATATAAAATGAAATACCGTTGTTGAAAATTATGTATACTTTTGTTGAAAATTATGTTATATGAAAATAAAAGTAGTAAGTTTATAGAAACGTCAAATTTAAGTATAGCGGGTTAAAAAAATCACGTTGGTGCATTTATGTCGTGTCCCTTACGCGTTGATCGTGACAATTTGAACAGCCCGTTAAAAACTCCCAACTCCTCCAAAACTACTTGTAAATTTTTCCAAGTTGTCCTGTACGCTCGCATACATTTACAAAATAGACCTGAAAGGAGCTGGCGACGAGGTTGCGTTGAAATTCCGTCTCTAAACACTCGAGATGAGTGTAGCCGACATGGCGGGTCGCTGGGGAAAAGGATTATTTAATTAAGGGCGACACTAACAATAACCGAATACGCGTTCTGCATGTCTTGAATTTCATCTCTAAATGGAACTAGTGTACACGTGTTTCAGTGCCGAATTTAGGCAAACGATTGCTAATTAAAGAGAATTGGAGTGCCGAATATTTTACAGGGTAGTATCAGCTGCGAGCTAATTGGAAGGGAGGTCTTTAAACTTTAAAAGGGCATCATTTTCTATTTACTTCAAAGGACTGTTCTCTTTACAACGTTCTAATTTCTTGAACTGTAACTACGTTAAAAGAAAATTACACAGTTTTGTAGTTTTTTTATAATAAAATAAGTTTTGAATGATTAACACTATTTGTAAATGGTTTTTAACGTATTTAAAACAAAACAAATATTACAATAACTAAAATACTCATTAAAATAATAAATAGTACCAAATCGAAGCTCTTATCAAACGAATGCGACAACTATACAACCATACTTAAACTCAGGAAAGTACTAAGAACTCCATTACTTCTTTATCTCAAAAAAAAAAATCGTTTTTACTCCTATATTATCGATTGTAATTAGAATGTGTACCTTCTGCATAACTTCGAGAAGTATCACAAAACTTTTAATCCGATCGAAAAATTTATAAAACAAATTGATCCCTTCCAGTTAATTTCCATGTAATCCAGCCCAATAATTGTCTAACCAAAAATTTCATTAAAAATGTAGCAAATAATTTCCCTTAAAATCTGCAAAATTCATCGTACAAAGTTTTTTTCAATTACAAACCCACTCTTTTTAACAAACTGGAATCAATATTTACCGTAAATATAATTATGAAACAAATTTCTGAGTCTTGTAGAAGTATAATTATACGAAATTGCTGCAGGCTGTAAAATTAAAATTTCCGCGAAAATTCGAAAACGGAATGTTGGAAAAAAGTTTGGCTCATAAGAAACGCAATATTACTCTGAATTTCATTTAGAGATTAATAATCTACGCTGGTCCAGATTAGCGTGTGTAATATTTATGTTAGTATGCATAAAAAAATCTGAAATGATCGTTTAATTATAAACCACTCAATTTCAGATAGAAAATGAACATAGTTTCCATTAGTAGAGAACTTAATAGTTAATATAATCATACCAAATGTTAAACCCCTAAATGTTAAATACATTTTGTTGATATAAAGTGACAATTCAATAGTATTGTATTAACCCTTTCTAAGTACCATCGTAAGTATAGACTTAATAGTACGATTTACGCGCTCTGTGGGATTTGCTTGTTGGTGATAATTTGCGTTATACCGCATGGTAACTATCTGTTAGCTGCTTAAACGTCTTGGATGTATATTGGGGACCGTTGTCACATAGTAATAACTCTCTATACTCTCCCTAAACAAGAAAAACTTCATCTTCAATCAGCTTCTCTGTTTTAGCATCCTTTAGTGAGAATAGTAGTGAGTACTTAGTAAAGTAATCCGTGACAACCAAAATATACTGATTTCCTCTCAATGACCTAGGAAATGGTCCCATAAAATCAGTAGAAATCATCTCAAAAGGCTGACATTCTTTGGGCTGAGACATCATGAGTCTAGCAGGCTTCTGTAAGTCCGGTTTATACGTAACACACTCCTTATATGATCTCACGAATCGAGACACATCCAATTTCATTTTAGGTCAAAAATAATACTCCTTAAGACTTATGTCCAGAAGTATGATCAAAATGTATTTTCTGTAGAAGCTTGTTACGCTGGTCCTTAGGAATCACTAATTTCCAATCATCTCCTGGGTCTCCGAGATCCTGGAATTTCGGTTAAGTATATTTATAAAGTTGCCCCTGATGAAGACGGAAATTCGCAAACTTAAAAGATTGTTTCAATATCTTGCCAAACAACCTGTTATATCATCTGTCTTGAGTCTCTACAGTTACCTCAGAAACCTCACAAGATTCCAAAACAGAAACAGCTCTAGACAATGCAACTGGCACCACGTGAGCCTTTCTCTTCCTATGTACGACGATATAATCGTACTGTTGCAATTTAAATGCCCAACGAGCCAAACATCCAGTTACATCCTTAAGATTATGTAACCATACTAAAGACCAATAGTCTGTAAAGACCGTAAAGCACACGCCCTCCAAGTAAGTTTGAAGTTTCTCGATAGCCCAAAAGACTGCAAGACATTCGCGTTCCCGTGGTAGTATAATTCCTTTATTGTTTAGACAGAGATAGGCCCAGGTAACTAATAACTCGATCTTCTCCTTCCTTCTTCTGTAACAACACCGCGCCTAATCCATAACATGATGCATCAGTGTGAACTTCGAAAGGTAAACCATAATCAGAACAGTTTAGAGCTGGTGCGGACAACAAATATTCCTTAATTTTCTGAAAAGCAACGTCACATTTATCTCTCCACTCGAACTTACATCCTTTCCTTGATAATGCTGACATTGGCGATATTAGCGTGGTGAAATAGGGTATAAACCTTCGATACCAAGAGAAAGTACCTAAGATCATTCTGACATCCTTGACACTTGTTAGTGTTAAAAACTTTAACATTGCAGATACCTTAAAGACCATTGCAGTATTTCATCTCTGGCCTACAAAGTTTGACCTAACTTACAGTAAGCTTTGCCTCGTTCAATCTCCGAAACACTTCTTCTAAAACAACCAAATGCTTCTAGAAAGTTTGGGTAACGATAACTACATCATCTAGACATACAAAGACATGGGTTTTCAATTGTGAACCCAAAACAGTGTCGATCAAACGCTGCCAAGTAGCAAGGTGCATTTTGTATTGGAATAAGCCTATGCTTGGTACTGTAAAAGCTGTATAAGATCTAGACCCTTCTACTACAGATACTTGCCAGTAAGCAGATTTAATGTCAATAGACGAAAGATAGTTTGCATCCCTTAATTTATCTAGCGTGTTAGTAACATAAGGCAGTAGATATCCATCTCTCTCTGTCACTGTATTAAGTTTCCTGGAGTCGACACAACAACAGTAACTCCCATCTTTCTTCTTGACTAATAAGAG